TCTCAAAAACAACAACAAAAACCCCCAAATGCCAGGCTTTCCTACTCCACCCCCCACGACTCAGCAGGAGAAACACTCACTCTCCTGAGGATTCCTCCTAAAAACTTTTATCATACTGGCCGGGAGGGCGCGGTGGCTCACGCCTGCAGTTCCAGGACTTTGGGAGGCCGAGGTAGGCGAATCATGAGGTCAGGAGTTCGAGACTGGCCTGGCCAACATGGCGAAATCCCGTCTCTACTAAAAATACAAAAATCAGCCGGGCTTGGTGGCAGGCACTTGTAATCCCAGCTACTCCGGAGGCTGAGGCAGGAGAATCGCTTCAACCCAGGAGATCACGGGTGAGCCGAGATCACGCCACTGCACTGCAGCCTGGGGGACAGAGCAAGACTCCGTCTCAAAAATAAATAAATAAATAAAAATAAAAAAAAATTATACTGAGTTTGGCCTAAATAAGCATATCTTAAAAGGACGCAGAATTAACTGATCCTAAATCCAGTTGCCAGTAGCAAGTCTTTATTTAGCACCCATAGGGTACAGAGCACCATATAAGATGAGGTTTTCAGTGAATCTAACAAATAGGTAGAGAATATAAATGCATATACTTATAGTTAAAAAATAGTTGTTCTGGAAAAAAGACATATAATAGTTGGTGGTTTGCTGAGGAATTAATCAAAGGAAAACTGGAGGTCTTCCACTTTCAGCAGGTTGTAAAGAAGAAGACTGCCAACTAGGGATAGCAGAAGAGAGAAACATTAAAAAGGACAATTTGTATAGTCTTGACAACTATGAAATGAATTGCAGAAGAGTGTGGAGTCTGCAAAACAGGGAAGTGAGCAGACCCTAGCAGCCAATTATTATTATTATTATTTTTTTGCCCTTCACGCAGGAGGATGGAAGAGTATTTCTTGTAGGCCAAAATGAAAGGCCCTAAAGAGACTGACATTAGGGTGTTCCCCAGCAAAATAGCTCAGGTAGGTCATAGAAAAACAAACAGCCCTTTACCACACACTCAGTTTACAGTAAGCTTTTTGGTGTTCCACACTTAAATATGAGTAGACTACCAAGACCATTAACTCTGAGGAAAGCCTGTAATGTGAATGAGACCAAAACAAACACATAGGGGAAACCAAGAAACAAACTCTGGAGGACACAGATTATGCAGAAAGAATATAGAGATGCATGCATGTGTATGTATACGTGTGTGCATATACATACATAAACATACAAACATCTTCAAAGAGATAAAATACTGCAACTATGAGCCAAAATAGGATGCTATTAAAAAAATATTCAGAGAAGGGGAGCTCTTAGAAATTAAAAATATGAGACAATATGAGTCTAGAAAAATAAAATGCAACAGATGAACTGGAAGATTAAATTGAGAAATGGTCCTAGGAAAAGGTCTTAGCAAGAAGACAGACCTGAAAGTTAAGAGAAAAGGTAGGAAAATTAGAGATCAAACTCTGGAGGTCTAACATCTGGAAAAGAAAGACAGAAGAGATGGGAAATCATTAGTTTCAGACTGAATGATCCCACCAGGCACCTAATACAAAGGATGAAAATGGACTCTTAACAGGGACAGAACATTGAGACAAAGATAAACCTATAAGCTTCAAGAGAGATAAAAACAGATTATGCAAAAGAGAAGGAACAGAATGGCATTCGATTTCCAGTAGTCACCCTGGAAGCCAGAAGACAGTACATTTTCAGACTCCACAGCAGCAGCACTGAAAGCTAGCAGATGTCTTCAAAACTGGGCATGGAGACCACTAAAGGATTCTATACCTTGCCAACCAAAACAGCAATCAAGTATAAGGGTAAAATAAAGACATTGTCAAACACACAGAGATTCAAAACATTTACTTCTCATTTTTCCTTTTCAAAAGCTATTAGAAGAGCTTTACCAATATGTGGAAGAGTAAACCAAGGAAAAGGAAAATAATGGGATCTAACTGGAAACAGATCTGACATAAGAGACAAAGTGAATCTCTGGGGTACTGATGGAAGATGATAGCTATGAACAGTCCAGACTAAAGCACATTAAGATTTTAGGAGAAATTTCTCCAAGATAAAACTGACAGAATATCTCATATTCCTAAAGGTCAAATGGACTCCACAGGCAGAGCTCAAGGAAATACTGACTGATCCATAATATTCTCTTTTGCACAAAAATAGTTCCTGTACTGATCCAAGTTTTTTTTTTCCCCCCCACTTCATTTTAGTGCATTGCCTGAAATTCCTGCATCTCTACGGTGAATAAATGGATTTCTCAACTTTCCTCTTCTGTAGGTTGCTGGGCTGTTTTGCTCCTTTCCCTAGCTGTCTGGTTTCCCAGTCTGCTTGGCCTTCCCAGTCCCCTTTTCCAATAGATAGATGATTAGGGCCAAGTAACCTATGGTAAAGTGCTTATTCTTTCCCTTTTTTCTGTTAAAAAAAAAAAAAAAAATTTGCAAATCATGCCCAGGAGATAGCAAGGGGCTGTTTCAGATTTCACAGTTCAGAATTGTTTTCGTGCGTGTGTGTGTGAGTGCTGTGTTGTTTTTTGGAGACCGGGTCTTGCTCTATTGCCTAGTCTGGAAGTACTATGGTGAAATCACATCTCATTGCAGCCTTGACCTTCCGAGCTCAAATGATCCTCCCACCTCACTCCTGAGTAGCTGGGACTACAGGCACATGCCATCATGTCAGGCTAATTTTTGCATTTTTTGTAGAGACAGGGTTTTGCCATGTTGCCCAAGCTGGTCTCAAACCCCTAGGCTCAAGTAATACGCCTGCCTCGGCCTCTCAAAGTATTGGGATTACAGGTTTGAGCCACCATGCCTGGCCTTCTTGTGCTTTTTAAGTGAAATTTTTGCCCAGCCCAATTACTTCTGGCCTAAATAAGCCAAGTTTGACTACTTTCTAGGTTTCCTTTTCAATAACTGTATCTCTAACTCTACCTAGAACAAAAATATTCAAGTTCCTCCAGGTTTCTATTCCCTCTTGTCCTATCTTTTTGTATTGAAAGAGTAGAGAAAATCTGTGGAAAAGAAGATTCATTTCAAAGAGTTTGCCAGAATCTTACTTACAGAAGAGGTTCTCCCTCTCTTCACTCACATGGTTGATGGGACAGTGTTTTATGGATCCAGATATTGCTTCTCCAACAAGTGTTAAAATACTTGGGAGTAACATGCATAAAATTAGTTCCTCAGGCGCTGTTGCCCACCTTGTAGCTCATAATGGTAAATGATTTGCCAGGAATTAAAAATCAATTTTGTAGGTAAAAATGTGAAATTTAGCTCTCCGGAGGGGGGGCCATGAACTAAAAGGTAACAGTCACAAAGCAATTAGAAACAGCTGAGTTCTGTTATGACATGTTTCTCTTAATATATAATTTGTAAATAAATTATAAGTTGTACAGTGGTATTTCATGTAAAATATACACTTCTATCCTACTCATGTAAAGTAGCACAGCAGTGAACGAGATACCCTATGTGTATGAAAATGTCCTAATTGTGTTCTTGGAATTTCTAAGTCACACAAATAAAATCTGAAATAAAATATGAACCCCATGACAAAGGAAAACGGAGGGGAATTACCTTGATGGACCTAGACCTTCTTTTGCATGGCTTTAATTTCAGCCTAATAAGCTAATTTCACAAACAGGCGTTAGCTACATATTTATAATATTTTTTTTCTACATTTATTAACCCCACATTGGCAGAAGATTTCCTTCTCAGGCACAGTCCCAGCTTCATAACCATAATCCCATGTTAGCTCTGTTCTTGCTTTCACATACCTAGAAAGCAGAAATTTGAAAAGAATCATAAAATACCCTAAATTAACTACCAATGAACCAAATTATATCAATTTTCATATTAACATTAACAATCCTCAAAAATATGATCTATTCTCTCACCTGACACCCACCAATTAGGAATGACCTTTTATTAAGAATAACCATTTGAGTTTTATTTCAAATCTACTAAAATGTTAAGCAGGAACCTATCAATATGAGGAAGGAAGTATATTTTGCCAACAGTGGGACCCAGTCATGTGTTGAGGTCTGCAGTGTGGAAGTAGCTGGGGAATGGCTCTGAATTAAAAATTATGTAGCACTCTGCATCATTTATCCCGAGTGGAACTGGGTGATACCTGATATCTTCAGTCCTTTCAGGCATTCATTCTAAGTGGGAATAAGAGTTGAAATTTCAGGTGTTCAAAATCTTTTTTTTTTTTTGAGACGGAGTCTCGCTCTGTCACCCAGGCTGGAGTGCAGTGGCCGAATCTCAGCTCACTGCAAGCTCCGCCTCCTGGGTTTACGCCATTCTCCTGCCTCAGCCTCCCGAGTAGCTGGAACTACAGGCGCCTGCCACCTCGCCCGGCTAGTTTTTTGTATTTTTTAGTAGAGACGGGGTTTCACCGGGTTAGCCAGGATGATCTCCATCTCCTGACCTTGTGATCCCCCCGTCTCGGCCTCCCAAAGTGCTGGGATTACAGGCTTGAGCCACCGCACCCGGCCTCAAAATCTTATTGAATAGGAACAGTTTAGGATAATTGAATATTCTACAGTACCAGATATTTGGGGCTATAGTATATATCTTCTTTAAAATATTTTTCTATTGTAATTATCAGTTTTTGAGACAGGGTTCAAACTCTACCTCTTGGACTCAAGTGATCCTCCCACCCCAGCTTCCCGAGTAGCTGGCCACCACACCTGGCGAACTTTTTGTATTTTTTTTTAGTAAAGACAGGGTCTCGGCATGTGGCCCAGGCTGGTTTCAAACTCCTGAGCTCAAGCAATCTCCCCGCCTTGGCCTCCCAAAGTGCTGGGATTACAGGTATGAGCCATGGCACTCAGTCCTCTATTGTTATTTTTAAAGTCACAATTTCCTCAGAATTAAGTAAGCAAAATCAATTTCAAACCTGTTGGTGAAGAATGCCACCAGTGGAAAATTCCTGTTGTGTGTTTCTACAAAAACATTCTGTACCAAGAGATTTGGGCAACAACTATGCTGTTAAATAAAAATAAACACAAAGGTTAGAAATAGCATAAAGTCTGATGCCTTGTGCTTTTGCATTAGAATACCATTCTGTTTTTAATATATCACACTGACTTTGTTCTTTTTTTGTTAATGTATAAAATATCACAGCTGCTGTTAATAGTGGGAACCCATTCAGAAAAGCCCTGTTCTGACACTTTTATATGTTGCTGTTAGAAATGCAAAAATGGGACAAATCCCTATACAATATATCAAAATTTATCATTATTATAAATGCATTTGTCTTTTGATTCTGCAATCTCATATCTAGAATTGTATTCCACAGATTCATCTGCATATGTTTCCATGTGTAAAATTATTCATTGAGCATTGTTTTTAATGTTAAAGGTTTGGAAATAACCCAAATATTTGCCTAAAGTGGATTGGTTGAATAAACTTTGGTACACAATAGAATTCTATGTGGCTATAAACAAAAGTGTACAAATAAAAAGAATGAGCAGCTCTGGGTATTAATATGGAAAGATTGCCACGATATACTTTTTTTTTTTTTTTGAGACGGAGTCTCACTCTGTCGCCCAGGCTGGAGTGCAGCGGCATGATCTTGGCTCACTGCAACCTCCACCTCCCGGGTTCAAGTGATTCTCATGCCTCAGCCTCCCAAGTAGCTGGGATTATAGGCATGTGCCACAACATCTGGCTAACTTTTTTTTTTTTTTTTTTTTGTATTTTTAGCAGTGACAGGGTTTCACTATGTTGGCCAGGCTGGTCTTGAACTTCCGACCTCAAGTGATCCACCTGCCTCAGCTTTCCAAAGTGCTGGGATTACAGGCATGAGCCACCACACCTGGCCCAATATACTGTTAATCTGAAAAACAAAGTATAGAACAGTGAATATAATATGCTATGTTTTATGGTAAAAAAAAAAAAAGGGGGAGTGGGGGGCAGGAGAAATAAGGCCAGGTGCGGTGGCTCACACCTGTAATCCCAGCACTTTGGGAGGCCAAAGCGGGCAGATCACTTGAGGTCAGGAGTTTGAGACCAGCCTGGCCAACATGGTGAAACTGTATCTCTACTAAAAATACAAAAGTTAGCCAGGCATGGTGGTGCACACCTGTAATCTCAGCTACTCAGGAGGCTGATGGGGAGAATCGCTTGAACCCAGGAGGCAGAGATTGCAGTGAGCCGAGATCGTACCACCATACTCCAGCCCTGCGAAAGAGCGAGACTCAGTCTCAAAAAAAAAAAAGAATAAAAATGATGACCTAAAGAGAGAAGGTGGAGTGGGGGCATGGGAATGGGAGCACAGTACTTCTCAAGGTATGGCTTTTGTTTTTTCTTTTTTTTAACAAAAAGTTTTCACAAAGTAAGTTTAACATGAAGATGTACAGAACCTAATGTTTACTTCACTGTAACAAGCCTTTTGGAGAGGAGATATTGTAAGTAACGAGTTTCGCTGCTGAAGACAGCCATTATGTAGCTTCGTTTCAAGGCTTCTAGAAAGATGATACCATTTACTCATATTAGCACTGTTCCAGTATTGCTCTGTTGCCCACTAGCTGCCAGCTCCACACATTCATCATGGGATTCATTAATGCCTGTAATTTCAGCTACTCAGGAGGCTGAAGCATGAGAATCGCTTGAACCCCAGAAGTGGAGGTTGCAGTGAGCCAAGATTGTGCCACTGGTGACACAGTGAGACTCCATCTCAAAACAAACAAACCAACCCCCAAAAACAGTATATTGTGGCAATCTTTCCATATTAATACACCATTAAATCCCTGCAGTATTCTTTGGACATATCTGCCACCATTTAATTTCACTGATAACTTCCTATCCATACATTTTTTTCAACTCAGGTAAATGAGCTTATTTAAATCTGATATATTTAAATACTTTTCTTATACACCATTTCTTACAGTTTTTAAAAAGCAAATGTTTACTATGTGCTGGCACTGTTCTAAGCAGTTTATTATAATTCATTAGATTCTCATAACATCCTGAGACAGTTATCATTTGTCCCCATATTACAGAGGTAGAAAATGATGTATCAGAGGTCAAGTAAAACATCCAACAGTATACAAGTGGAGGACTGGAATTCTAACCAGATGGTCTGACTTTAGAGTCTGTTTATCTTATTTTCCTCATAATTATGTTAAGTAGCATAGAAAAACAGTTGTTCAGAAATAGGAATCTCAGCCCTTATACTCACATTAAGGAAGCGGCCGACATTTCCTTCTTTTGTGGCATCCAATAAAAACACATTCCCTTTGTTGAACTTTGTTAGAGAATCAGATGAAGTGTTCTTGGTTTCACTTAGCAATTCTTCATCACAAAAGACCTGCTGTTTTTGACATGCTGTAGATCGTCCCTCTTGGGGTTTCTGTATTTGAACCTCAACTGCCTTTTTAATATTCTGATTATCCAATGTGGTCGCCTGGTTACATCTGCTCCTTGGTGGAGTTTCTTCTCTACATTTAGTTATATCTATCACATCTGATTCAGTCAGGAGATTATCTTCAAAATCATCAACATGGTTTGAACTTGAGTCCTCTAATAGATATTTTGGAAGGAAACATTAGGAAATATACTTGCTGAGCAATAGTGCTGAAATTAACAACACTAATTAGATGCTAGGTGCTTTAATTATCAATCCTTACAATGTGTTAGGCAGGTAGTATTAATTATATAAAGGAAACTTTGAGTCTCTGAGGGATTAAGGAATTCATCTGACCCACAATAATGAGAACTGGGGTAACAAACCCAGAAATGTTTGAATCCCAAAGTCTGCCTTCTCTCTACTACGTAAAAATGCCTTTTTATGAATCTACATCTTGCTTCTTCATTACTATATTTAATCTCTACTCTCAATAAAAACTGACTTTCTTCTCTTTAATTCTGGAATCTGCACTTAAGTATATTCTAAACAAATGTAACAGAGTGGGTGTTTTGGAGGCACTCCAGGCCTTTACGCTGCCAATAAAAGGTCTAACTCTGACAGAGTCACCTTCCACAAGTCCCGGCAGTGACAACTGTATTGCTAGGGGTTTTGCACATATTAGTGTTTGGTGTTTTACTAGATGACCATTCAATAATTACACTTTTGTAAACAATAATCCTTTAAAAGCAGATGTACTGCTTAATTGTTTTTCTTATCCAATAAGGAAAATAGTTTTTTGAAAGTATTCAAAAGTATGAATATGGCTGGGCTTGGTGGCTCACGCCTGTAATCCCAGCACTTTGGGAGGCCAAGGCAGGAGGATGCTTGAGGCCAAGAATTCAAGACCAGCCTGGGCAACAAAGTGAGACCCCATCTCTACAAAAAAATTAAAAAAAAAAAGAAATTAGCCAACAAGGGGGTGTGTGACTGTAGTTCTGGTTGCTCAGGAGACTGAGGTGGGAGGACTGTTTGAGCCCAGGAACTGGAAGGTACAGGGAGCTATGATCCCACCACTGCACTCCAGCTTGGGTGACAGAACGAGTCGCTGTCTCTCTTAAAAAAAAAAAAAAAGGTATGAATGTATGTCAGATGGAGTAAGTATAAATTACTTATTTTAAAAGAGCCACAAAGCTACTTGGACCACCTAATTCAATGGCACAAAGATATTGTACCTGTTTAAAATTAAGGCTCTTAATTTAATCATCACTGTTGTTGCTGGCTGCTGTTCCTACATGTACTCATATTTTAATCATGGGTTACATGTAAGCCATAATACAACTCTGGATTTTTTTATACAAAAAGTACATAGCTGTTGACTTTTAGAGTACCCACTATATATATTGTAGTACTCAATGAAAAGGGCAAAAGAACCAAAAGCAACGGTATGCATTGTGGCTCACATGCATGATAAAATAAATATAATACACAAAATCCCCTTTCTCGATAAACCTTTTCTATCAAGGAACTGCCATGTCTCCTCCAATCTCCATCCTTTAATATTAGGTGGAGAGCTGGGGTTGCAGGGGAGAAGAGGCAGCAGTGGCTCACCAATTCTTCACAAATGGACATGTCTCAGCAATGTCTCCTTGTGAAGGACACAGTGAAATGCAAAAGTACCAAAAATAAGGTTTGTTCAGTTATAATATTAACTACGGCAAGGACTAGCAACTCTGAAACACAAGGACTCAGGGTGGCAATATTTTAGCCTTTTGCCAGAGTCATGCTGAGTATGCTCTGTGGCAGTATTGGCTAGGCAACTGCAGGAGAGTGATGTGTGTTTATTTTTAAAGCCATCTACAAAGAGTTTGAAAGTGGCTGCTTTGCACGATGGTTCCAAAGCCATGGACAACACCTGTACACCACAGAGAGTCACAGTTGTCCGGCTCACCCCTCTTGCCATGCATCAAGTCACTACTGGTAATTAGACCAGAGACCAGCAAAGTTCTTCTGTAGAAGGCAAAATAGCAAATATTTTAGGCTTTGCTGGCCATGTGGTTTCTATTGTGATTATTCAACTCTTGTTGTAATGTTGAAGCAGACAATATGTAATGCAAACTGGCTGTATTCCAATAAAACTTACATTTTATTTTTTTTGGGACAGGGTCTTGCTCTATCGCCCAGGCTGCAGTGCAGTGGCACAATCATAGTTCACTGTAACCTCAAAGTACTGACCTCAACAATCCTCCCACCTCAGCCCCCTGAGTAGCTAAGACCACAGGTGTGCACCACCACACCTGGCTATTTCTTTGTTGTTGCTGAGACAAGATCTTGCTACATTGCCCAGACTCATGGCCTCAAGCAGCCCTCCTCCTGCCTTGGCCTCCCAAAGTGCTGAGATTACAGGCGTGAGCTACTGCACCTGGCCAAAACTTTATTTCTGGACACTAAAATTGTAATTTCATATAATTTTCAAGTGTCAAAATATTATTGCCTTCTGATTTTTTTCAACTATTTAAAAATGTAAAAATCATTCTTAGCTCACATGCCATACTGAACAGGTAGAGGGCCAGATTTGGCTCACAAACAATAGTTTGCTGATGTCTTATGTAGACAAGTTGTAACCTTTCTGACAAATGCAGCATGTTTATTATGGAATCTAAGAAAATGAGCTACAGGTATTGAGCAAGAGACAGAGAAACAGGCAGAAAAGGTAGGCATTCACAGAAGAAACAAAGCCTACTTTGTGCTCCCTTGGTTTTAGAGTTCAGATGCTCTCGGGGTGGTTTAAATCCATCATTATCTTCTGGAGTGACAGACTCCGAGGAAACAAATTCCTTAAAAAAACAAGGAAGATGTCTTTACTTTCCAGGTCAGGCAAAAGTATTTAGCAGTTAGGCCTCTTTTATCAAGTGTCAATCATCATAGGCCATATGTACTAGATTCGTTTTGAAAGCCTCAAAGCTGATATCATAAGGAGTCTTTAGACTAATGGAGGCAAAATGTGTCATCCCCTTTGACTGTGTTCTACTTCTAGGTGCTTTATTAAGCCACAGTTATAAAGACTGTCAAGAAATTCTTTGGGAATGAAAATCTTAATGCATCTGTCTGTATCCCTCAATTCTAATCATCCTCAGTACTGAGAAAGTGTTATTACTAGATTATAAATTTGGCTTCAACTGTAAGTTGTGTAAAGATGAAAAACACTCATTGGCTACTCTCTACCTCAAAGAAAGGTTAACGAATTTGATAGTGCTTACACATTGTAGACACTGCAGTCACTTTAAGTAGTAATGATAACTTTAAAAGCTCAGCACAATGCTTGACAACCAACTAAGTGTTCAATACACATTGACCATATAATTATTATGAAAGTTCTCAGTATGTGAATGGTCAACATGTATTGAGCAGTTAGTTGGATGCCAAGCATTATGCTAAGCAAGTTGCTGATGTTTATCTCATTTAATCCTCCTAACTCGGAAACATATACTATTATCTTTTAAAGATAAAAGAAATGTATGTATGGAGATACCACCCAGCTAGCAGGCAGCAGAGCTGGGGGTTAAACCTGGGTCTGTGTGACACCATGGCCAATCTTTTCATAATTCTCTGACCCTGAGGTAGCTACTGTACCATTACCAGGCAGAGGTCAAATATTTGCATAACACCTAGAGAAGAGTTTTTACTTTTCATCAACAAGCCCTAAAGTAAGCTACCATCATGTCTCTCTCTGTTCTCTTTTCTCTTTCTCTGCTTCTATGTTTCAGTCTCTGACTAATCTTAGTTCACAATGCAAAGGGTATCCTCAGAGGCTACAATGTAAAATATTGTTTTCTGGATGATTCTTTCCTAAAATTGCATCTCTTCTTTCTCATACATCTTAAAACCTTTGGCCAGGCACAGTGGCTCATGCCTCTAATCCCAGCAATTTGGGAGGCCAAAGTGGGTGGATCACCTGAGGTCAGGAGTTTGAGACCAGCCTGGCCAACATGATGAAAACCCCGTGTCTACTAAAAATACAAAAAATTAGCTGGACATGGTGGCAGGTGCCTGTAATCTTAGCTACTCGGGAGGCTGAAGCAGGGGAATCGCTTGAACCCAAGAGGCAGAGGTTGCAGTAGGCTGAGATTGCACCATTGCACTCCAGCCTGGGCAACAAGACTAAAACTCCATCTCAAAACAAAACAAAAACCTTGTTCTCCTTCACCTAAATTACTCTGTCCCTTTTCTTATATATCACTATTAACTCCTGAACACTTTAGCTTCTCCCACAAATTCTCAGAATGGGATACCTATCGATCTCAGTGGAGCACACTGTCAGATCATGACCAGCATTCTCCTCATACAGCCAAGCTGGAAACACACCAACTGCCGTGGACGATACTAAGTAAATAGAACATGGTCCTAGCATTTCCACAGTCTACCATTTCAAAACAATAAAAGAAATTCTACACACTATAAAGTAACACAAACATTTTGAGCTAAGTAAAGGATAGAAAGGCAATAGTTTATATCTCAGAAGGGCCCCATCAGCTGGGTGCGGTGGCTCACGCTTATAATCCCAGAACTTTGGGAGGCTGAGGCACGACAACTGCTAGAGCTCAGGAGTTGGAGACCAGCCTGGGCAATATCGTGAGACTCCATCTCTACTAAATAAGAGCCGGGCATGGTGCTGTGCACATGTAGTCCCAGCTATTTGGGAGACTGAGGGAGGAGGATTACTCGAGCCCAGGAGATTGTGGCTGCAGTGAGTTGTGACTGTGCCACTACACTCCAGCCTGGGTGACAGAGTGAGACTCTACGTTAAAAAAAAAAAAAAAAAAAAAAAATTAAAAAAGAAAAGAAGGGTCCCATCTACATTTTGCAGTTTTTACCATTTTTTTCCCATTGTGTTGAAAAATGGCTGTCTTGGATTCAGGATCTCCAATAACTGAATGATACCGAATTCTTGAAGTATTATCATATTTCGTTTCCCTAAAAAGGAAAAAAAAAATTATTCTGTATCACTAAAAATTCTTTTCATTCTCTTTATTGAAGTATAGATAATATCCATTATTACAGAAATATCCTTAATTATTAGAAATTAACCTAAGTAAGAACATGTATGTTTACTCCTTTCCCCAGAGAAAGTAAATATAATCATACTTTAAATAATTTTTGAAGTACATTTAAAAAAGGAAGAGAACCTATGAAAACTTTTCAGATAAAATGATAGAAAATTTTAAAAAACAGCAAAACTTATGACATCCATAAAAAACCTGACTGAAGTCATATAAGGTAAAATTCCAGAACTGGAACACTGAGGATAGTACACTGGCTACATTTTTAAATGTCCTGGATTTCTCAAAGTGTTAGACTTAACAACTTTGAAGCAAAATGATAAATACAAATGAGGAGAAAAGAAAGAAAGAGGGGAAGCAAAATGAACCAATTGATTGATAATTTAGATTTACTCTGAGTTCTTCAGCTGTTACTTACATAGTAAGCTCCTTGGGATTATTACTGAACTTTGGTGGACATTTCTCAATTTTAGCAGTTCTAGGATGTGTTTCCAATCCTAATGGGAGAACTTCAACTTCACAATCTGAACACGCAACTTCTAATTTCCTCTTTTTTGAAAATATATTTTTCATAGTATTCTCATCTTTCCCATTTTTATCAATACCATTAGATTTTTCAGTGTTAGCTCTGCTTAGTAATCTTCCTAAAAGGAAAATGTTAAAGAGTTTGAACAACACAGAAGATAATTGCTAACAATAAATAGACATCTGTATTTCGACTCCATGACTAAAGAACCCATACGTTTTACAATGAAGATAAACACATTAACTCATCCTACAAAACTGTTGCAAGACAAAGACCAATGTGATATTTCTTATCTTCTAGTATATGAAAAAACAGGGTATCTAAAAAAACCATCTGTCTGTTTTGGTAAAATACAAAAGCGAAGAGATTTAGCTACAATGATCCAAAACAAAGATATGGATCAGAAAATACCCTAGAAAATTAGAGATGACCTCTAGTCATAAAATTGTGGCTTTTATGTCTAGTTAAAAAGGCTTTATCATCTGAAACTTACAATTTTTAACAAAAGTACCTGTTTAAATATGTGGTGATATGTTCCTAGTGTTGTCATATTAAGTTCTGCATAACACTAAAATCTTAAAGTTTATGCATTTTCTTTCAAGGGATTCAATATTAAAATTGCCAAGTCCAAATTAATAGCAGGATATTCTTACCCATCATTAGGTCAGAGACATATCTTAGGTATATTTTCTAGTAACAACGATAAAACCAATGATACTTCCTGGACACTGCTTGGCATTTTACAGGTAGCTTTCATCCAACAGTTATTTTGAGAAGTATGAGAGATGAATGTCTAGGCAGGCTGTGTAGAATGTGGATCTGTAAGTGGGGAGTGGCAGGGATCCATATGTGTGACTACTCTGAATTCAGATAACTCTGCAAGTTTTTTCTTGCCCTCCCTGATGTGAACCTGACATTTTTTTTCTTTTCTTTTTTAAGCACTTGGTCATGTAAACAGATAAACCTGATTTTTTCCGATGAGTAATTTTCAGAACCTGGTTGTTCTGTTCCCTGCTGCCTAGCTGCTAGAACTAAGTCAAGGACAATTCCTTTAGACTGGCTCTAAAGCCGTGTTTCCCAAACTTTCTCACATAAGGATGTGCACAGAAAATAAGGGGTTTCGCCTGACATGCTGGAGGTAAATGTGTAAGACTACCGAAGACTGATGTGTTTGGTCCTGGGGACTGTGGCCCTAAAGAATCAGTAATTGCATGACTGTAACACACTGCTCAGGAAGTTTTGCTCTGCGGCATGGACAACTCTCTGCAGTCCCCAAAATAGAGTGAGTTGCCTAAAGTCACTGACTGAATTATAACATGCAGATATTACATAATTAACTTGTTAAATTCTAATAATAGCTCAAAACATTGAATAAGAAAGTTTTTGACTGGTAATCTTTACCTTGGCAAGCTAGTCATCTAGTTTTTTTACTTTTAAAAAGTTTTCTTCCCTTACCCCAAAGTACCTGTAGCCATGCGGACAAAACAAATGTGCCTTGGACATAACAAGCCCTCACACAAAAACCAGTGTCATCTCTGAACCTTTCTTTTCTTGGAGAAAGTACCTCCTAAGCATCTCATCTTTTTAGTGCTCAAGTTCCCAGTTCATCTCCCTTTCTCTGATGTTCGTTTTAGATACTGTTACTCTTTACCTTGTTGTAAGCTCTCAACGGCCCTGGCTAGGAAAATGGATATTCAGAAAAGAGGATCCTACCCTAGAATAATTTTAAAATAAACCTTTGCTTTACCTGAATAAATGCAAACAAACGTCCCTCTGTCAATGTCATCTAGGCAGCGTACACCCCATCCCTTCTGCTCAGTTTTGAACACCTGTAGCCTCACTTGAGGACCATGTTGGACAACACGGTTTTGACACAACTGTCGATTACATTTGCACAACAGGCTGCATTCATAAATGCTGTCAACAAAATATGCAAAAGAGAAAAACAGACACCTCATAAAGCAAAAAGCAGTTTATTGCCACTTCACTGGCACTGACAACTACTGAGGGAAGCAGGCTAAATGTGAAAGCTCTTAGAGATAGGGTGCCTGGGTTCCCATCACAGCTTCCACATTTACTAGCTGTATTATCTTGGATGAGTTATTTAACTTCTCTGTGCTTTATCTTTGCATTTTTAAAATGGAGATTATATGACAGTACCTCCCTTATAGAGCTGCTTTGTGAAGATAAAGTGAGTCAGTACCTTGAAAGGTTGAAAATTCCCAATTCTCAAATGAGTTCTAAACAGCGTATTTTTAAATGGAGAAATGGCTGCCCAAAGTAGGCTGATCCTACAGGGGTAAGAGCCAGTCTCAAAGCAGATGAGTGTTCGAGTACACTTCGCATGATGTATGTGTGGTCTCTGACTACCATTTCCATGAACAATATACAGGATTTTTATTCCTTAATAATTTAGACTTTTGGTATTGGAACCAAATTAAACTAGATATAACATCTATATGATTTTAGACCACAATAAAAGGTACCCACCTTCAAAGATATACACACCCTGCAACAAATCCTCAAGGTACCTTACCCAGTAGGAATCTGTCTCTGTAGTCTTTTATATTTATATCCAGTGGTTATTTTGTCACTTGACAAGGGGGAAGTTTTGGCATTCCTTGCTGTCAATTGAAGACATGCACATTTTGTTCTAAAAGGAAGGCAGTGGTTGGAGAAAGAATGAAAAAGCACCAAGTTAAGTCAAGAGACTGTCTTGATAAAAGTGTAAATGATGTAATAAAAGATGCAATAGCATTTAGAATAGTTTGGCTCATGAACACTATGAGCTTTTTCCCTACACAGATCTCTTTGAAAGACAATACCTCCCAAAAGTTTATAAATAATTGTAAACTGCACTGCATCTCTATTTGCTCATAAAATACTTAACTATATGAGTTTAGCTTTTAAAAATCAATTCCTTTAATTTCACTGTTCAGCACAGAAGTTTGTTTGTGAGAATTCTGCTAGTTCTGCTCTTTTACAATGGATAAACTTAAATATGTCAAATTTGTAAGGATGTAGTTTTGCAGATGTCTTAAGTTCTCTCTCACTCCAGTGACACAGAAACAGACTGGGGAGATTGACGCTATTATTGAATCCTTTTTTTCATACTGTTGCGAGGCAGGAAGCTTGCAACCATAAAACTTTATGTACTTTCCCCTCTATTCAGATGATTAACTAATTTGATAGGGAACCATAATTTGATACAAAGTAAGGAACTTGGGGACTCTAGCTGTATAACTAGGTAAGTGACTGCTGGTGAGCTGGTTAAAAATCTCTGGATCTTAGTTTCCTTTGCTGAACAAGTGACTTTAAGGTCTTTTCCTCTATGATTCTCTTCTGTATTTTCTCTATTAATTCATACACATCAGAATGGTGGCTGCTTGTTTGCAAGAGAAAAGAACAATGACAACAATCAACAAATTCATTAATTTGGATTCTGTTTACAAATATGAAAATCTGTAATTGTTTTCTCCCATGTGATTTTGTGTGCAAAGTTTAAAAAGTACAGAAAAATACAGTTCAGAAAAATACAGATAATAAACATCCATATTTTCACCATCCAGAATTAGTTGTCAGCATTTTATCTAGTTCTTTTCCCTGTATATATAATTTAAAATATACACACCACATATACACCACATATGCATGGTCTTCTTAAAAAAAGTTAAAAAGTAAAACATTACAGATATAACTAAACTCTCAAGAGATTTAGTGTGGCATCCTTTATGCTTTTATATACACATGTATCTACAAACAATACATTGTGTGTTTTTCATTACAAAAAAATTTACTATAGGTATTATTCTATAACTTGCTTTTTTTTTGTTCAGTATAATGTTTTTGAGACCCATCCATGCTATATACAAATCTAGTTAATTCCTTTTAACTTTTCTACAGGATTAGGTATTGCTCACTTCATATACAATTAAGTTAATAGTTTTTCTTTTCTTTTTGGAGAAGGAGTCTCACTCTGTTGCCCAGGCTGGAGTGCAGTGGCGCAATCTCGGCTCACGGCTCACAGCCTTGACCTCCCTGGACTCAGGTGATCCTCCCACCTCAGACTCTTGAGTAGCTGGGACTACAAGTGCGTCCCACCATGCTGGGCTAACTTTTGTATTTTTGTAGAGATGGGGTTTCGCTAGGTTGCCCAGGCTGGTCTCGAACTCCTGGGCTCAAATGATGTTCCCACCTTAGTTTCCCAAAGAGCTAGGATTACAGGTATGAGCCACTGTGCCCAGCCTCTTGGGACAGTTTAATTATACCTGTTTTAAAATCCCTTTCAATTAGATTCAACATTTATCTCTGATTCCTCAGGTGTGAATTCTCTCTTCTTGTCGGGATTCATGCTGCCTTCGTGGTCCTAAACATCGTTGCGTGGGTGCTTTAAATGTTTGTTTGAAATCATACCTTCTGTGGGGTTTAGTCCTTTGTGCTGCTCTACGTTGGGTGCCTTCTCTAACGCTTTGGCTCTGACCCTATTGGTTTTACAGCTGTTAACAAGGTTTTCATTAATACAGTTCCAGGCCCTGTGAGATATTGGCCTAGTTCCCAGTCTTGTGCAGGTAGGTACCTGTTTCTATTCCTTTGGAGAGCCAAGTCCCCAGATGAGGTAGTTGGGTTACATTTAGAGGTAATCTTTACAAAATAAAATACATATTTTTAAACAGAATAAAACAGTGCAGTGAGAGGTTTTCTCTATGAGAGGCCTCAAGGAACTGAGCCAAACTGAGGTAACAGTAGATATAGCTCTCATTTTACACTCCAATTAACTGAGAGGATGGTGAAAACTATTATTATGCTATTTAAATTATTTATCATTCTCTTATTCGTTTTTTGCCAAGTATGGGTAGCTAAATTTGCATTAAATGTACATATAATGCAACACCACTCTATATTTGTATTCCTACAAATGTATGTGTACTACACACCCTTAAAATGGTTTTCAAAGTCTTAATATATTAGAACATGTTTTCATTTTTTAATGGGATATTAATACTACACTACGATCAAGAAAACACTAGTTATAAGCATCACATTAGCCAGCAAATGATTTTTAAAAGTAAAATGCAACATACAACCCAATGGTTAAGAACATGGGTTCAAATCCTGTCTCTACAATTTGTTCTATGATCTCTCCAAACTGACTTCTCTGAGGCTTAACTTCCTCATGTATAACACTGAGATATTATCTACCTCATGGGTTTTTGTGAAGATTAAGAGAATGAATGTAAAGTACTTGTCACAGTGTCTGGCACTGTTAAATATCATTTGTTGTAATGCTATTGATGATCTCTTAATGTATTAGTACTAGATTAAAGGAAATATGCATCCTTGGAAGAAATAAGTTTCAAATTACCATATTTGGCAAATAATTAGAGGTTTTTTTCCCTACTGCTAGTGAGAGCTCATTTTCCCATTGTAGACTTTTTTTTTTTCTTTCTGGAGACAGGGTCTTGCTTTGTTGTCCAGGCCTCTGATACAGTGTGTGATCACAGCTCACTGCATCCTTGACCTCCTGGGCTCAAGCAGACCTCCTACCCCAGCCTCCAGAGTAGTTGGACTATAGGTGCACACCACCATACCTAGCGAATTTTTAAATTTTTTTGTAAAGATGGGGTTTTGCCATGTTGCCCAGGCTGGTCTCAAACTCCTGTGCTCAAGCTGGCCTCCCACCTTGGTCTCCCAAAGTGCTGGGATTACATGCGTGGGCCACCATGCCCAGTCTTACTGTAGAATCTCGAACAGGTTTTAGATAGACAAATTAATACATAACAAGACTTCTTAACAAGTGTCCTTACATTCAGAAGATTTTTTGAAATGCTATGTTTTTCTACTCACATGTCTATGCAGCCCTCAGAGCAGTCACAGGAATCAGTAAACATGCTGGAAAAGTTGGTTAGATAGTATGTTCGAGGCCACACAGTCTTTCTGTACTTAAACTGTGGGAGCTTTCTACTGTCAATTTCATTACAGAAAGAAATGGGCATTGATTCCACTCCATTGCTAATATCCACATCAGAAACAACTTCTTTTTGCTTTGGGTAATTCCGAGACAACTGAACATAGGTATTGAAAGAAAAGTTATCTGTAAATAAAAAGTTACACTCTGTCTCAAGCAGGTAACGAAAAACTTCCTCCACGTTTCGTAGACTCCTTCCACAAGGGGTTTTATAACTCACATGGAGTGCTGAAGAATGAGAGTTTGTCTTTGCATGTCGTCTTTGGAAGTGACATTTGATTGGCAGCTGCAGAGGGTTTTCTCCCTTCAAGTTCAGTGGCATTTTCATCAGACAAGCACCAGAGCAGTCATGACTTTGGTAAGATAAATTCAAAGATGAGTCTTTTTCTCTAAAGTCTACAACTTTATCTTCAAGAGAGAGAATTTTCTTATTTTCCGTTGTTCTGTTAAAATAAATTATTCATTAGCATCTCAAACTTATAGTTCAATTCATTTTAAAAAAACTATAATTATTTCCTATCTTCTTAGACAATATTAAAATAAGCCAGACTCTAAGATACACATTTTAAGATGTTCTGTAGCCATACAAACATTGTATCTATTTTTAAAACTTTTCTCAGAGATGAGGTCTTGCTATGTTGCCCAGGCTGGAGTGCAGTGGCCCTTCACAGGTGTGATCACAGCACACAGCAGCCTTGAACTCTTGTCCCCAAGTGAGCCTCCTGCCTCAGTTTCCCAAATAGCTGGTACAGGCATGCACCAGGTCTGCCTTATACCTGATTTCAGAATACTCCAGGAAGCTGTGATTACAGCTGTAACTTTCTGTTAGGTATTTCATAGCACCTAGCAAATTTAGAGTTGATTTAGAGCATGCAATCAATAAAGTACTGAAGAAGGTTACTTCTTCAGGCATGCTGGGATCAAGCTCTTTACATGCCAAAAACAAAGGCTGGCTGAAAACTTATTAATTCATCAAGAATTCTTTATACTATTTGCCTTCAACAATAGTACCAACTGAATTCTTTCCATAGTATGTGATCTACCTCGCAATCATATTGATACATCTGAAAAAATGGCAAACTGACAGGAGAAAATGGGGTGGTTATTAATCTAAAAAAAAAGTCAGCAGGGTGTGATGGCTCACAACTGTAATCCCAGCACTTTGAGAGGTCAAGGCAGAAGGAGTGCTTGAGCTCAGGAGCTCAAGATCAGCCTGGGCAACACAGTGAAACCACATCCCTACAAAAAGTAAACAAAATTAGTCAAGTGTGGTGGTGCATGCCTGTAGTGCCAGCTACTTTGGGGGCTGAGGTGGGAGGACTGCTTGGACTCAGGAGGTTGAGGCTACAGTGAACCATGATCACACCATTGCACTCCAGCCTGGATGACAGAGTGAGATCCTGTCTTTAAAAAAAAAAAAAAATCTGTGAAAAGCTTCCATGTGTTTGGAAATCAGGTTTTAAACTTTCACAAATAATCTGAGTATTGTTTTACATAGTATGTTCTATCTTTAGGTGTCTGTTACGTATTATAATACAGGTATTTTAGAGACGGGTTGTATTTGCTGTATGATATGGTTTGGCTGTGTCCCTACCCAAATCTCATCTTGAATTCCCATGTGTTGTGGGAGGGACCTGGTGGGAGGTAACTGAATCATGGGGACAGGTCTTTCCTGTGCTGTTCTCGTGACAGTGAATAAGTCTCATGAGATCTGATGGTAACATAAGCGGGAGTTTCCCTGCACAAGCTCTTTGCCTGTCGCCATCCATGTTAAGATGTGACTTGCTCTTGCTTGCCTTCTGCCATGAGTGTGAGGCCTCTCCAGCCATGTGGAACAGTAAGTCCATTAAACCTCTTTCTTGGCCGGGCGTGGTGGCTCACGCCTGTAATCCCAGCACTTTGGGAGGCCGAGGCGGGCGGATCACAAGGTCAGGAGATCGAGACCACAGTGAAACCCCGTCTCTACTAAAAATACAAAAAATTAGCCAGGCGCGGTGGCGGGCGCCTGTAGTCCCAGCTACACAGGAGGCTGAGGCAGGAGAATGGCGTGAACCCGGGAGGCGGAGCTTGCAGTGAGCCGAGATCGCGCCACTGCACTCCAGCCTGGGCGACAGAGCGAGACTCCCTCTCAAAAAAAAAAAAAAAAAAAAAAAAAAATCTCTTTCTTTTGTAAATTGCCCGGTGTTGGGTATGTCTTTATCAGCAGCGTGAAAACGGACTAATACACTATATAAAGCAGTGCCATCCAAAAAAACTTTCTCCATTGATAGAAATGGTCTATACTTGTGCTGTCCAATATGGTAGTCAGTAGGCGTATGTGGCTACTGAGCACTTTTAAATGTAGCTTGCATGACCAAAGAACTGAATTTTTACATTTTATCTAATTTTGATTAATTCAAATTTAAACAGCCACATGTAGCTAGTGGCTACCACATAGGACGTGCAGATATGGAGCTTCTTCATCCTTTCTCCAAATGTATAGTAATCCTTTGCATAAGTCCACAATTTAATTACCTAGCCTGCAATAATGGACTTTTTTCCACAACATGTAGTATAGGCTAGACCACAATAGTGGACTAGTTAACTTACACAGTTATCTTTTAGAACATATACGGTAAACTTATACAGTGATCTTTTAATAACTAATTTTATTGTAATAATCTTTAAGATTATTTATGAATTTTATTGTATGAATAACAATTTCATACGTGTAAAGATATTGTTGCAGAACATATTCCCAGAAATGGGAGTGTTAGGTCACAAGGCAAATGGATTAGTTATTTCACTAATATTGCCACATTGTTCTCCATTGTGTCAGTTCCTTCAGCAATAAATGAGAATGCCTGTTTTCATAGAGCTTCATCAATCAGGTGGGTCTGGAAGCTTTTGGATTTCAGAGTCTAACAGGTGAAAGGATGTACTATAATTTATTTAGAATTTTTTTTTTTTTTTTGAGAGACAGAGTTTTGCTTTATTGCCCAGGCTGGAGTGCAGTGGCATGACCTCGGCTTCCTGCAACCTCTGCTTCCCAGGTTCAAGCGATTCTCGTGCCTCAGCCTCCCAAGTAGCTGGGATTACAGGTATGTGTCACCAAGTCCAGCTAATTTTTGTATTTTTAGCAGAGATGGGGTTTTACCATGTTGTTCAGGCTGGTCTCAAACTCCTGACCACAAGTGATCTACCCACCTTGGCCTCCCAAAGTGCTGGGATTACAGGTGTGAGCCACCACTCCAGCCCTATAAACCTTTTAATGTTGAAAATGTTTGTTTCCAATTTGTCTCTATGTTACTACTTTAATGAACATCCTCATATATAAATCCTTGACCAAATTCCTGATTATTATTTTGAAATACATTCCTTTAAGAGGAATTACTAGGTCAAGAGGAACATATATTTAAAACACTTTTTATTTATAAAATTTCCAAATATAAACATAAGAGTATACTTTTCTCATAAAAAGAGACTACGATCAGGTGCAGTGGCCCATGCCTGCAATCTCAACATTTTGGGAGGCTGAAGTAGGAGGATCGCTTAAGCCCAGGAGTTCAAGATCAGCCTGGGCAACACAGTGAAACCACGTCCCTACAAAAAGTAAACAAAATTAGCCAGGTGTGATGGCATGTGCCTATAGTCCCAGCTAGTTGGGAGGCTAAGGTGGGAGGATCACTTGAGCCCAG